ACGAACAACGCGGTGCTGCGCGTACACGCGCGCGTGCACTCACACGAACGCGTGCATGAACAACGCGGTGCTGCGCGTACACGCGCGCGTGTACTCACACGAACGCGTGCATGCACAGCGCGGTGCCGCGTGTGCACGCGCGCGTGCACTCACACGATCGCGTGCATACAAGTGTGACAAGTGTGAGCACTCGCCGGCTTTGTCAACAAACACGCGTGTCATTTTCTCCCGCGTACTTAAAACAACAAGCACGCGCGTGCGGGTGGTGGATGAGGCCGATTTTTCCTGTTAATAATGTATATTTCGATGCATCGCTGTCGTCTACAATAGCGCGTTCTTATCTGCTGCCTGCATGCAAAGCGCTCGCTGTCACATCGTTTGGCTTCCCTCCCTCTCCTCATGCATACTCATCGCTGTGGGTTCAGGGCCCCGTGCCGCAGGGATGCGCGTGCGCGCGCTTCGTAACTCGATCAGCTATAGACGGGCGCGTGTTTCTAGCGACAAAACCCAAAGCCGCTGCCGACGGAGATGAGCGGAGAGAGAAGTTAACCGCCGCGCACGTCTATGTTATCACTGTCCTACGGGGGTGGTGGGTGGGGGTATTGGTGGAGGGTACGTACGCACCTTACGTCACCCGAGGGGAATATTGCATTCTTATTGACGCTCGTCTCTTGTTTGTTGCCGGTGTGTCACTAGATCCACGGGGCAATAATGTGTTGCCCAAACACGGCTTATTGGCAGTTGATCAGCGCTGGCGCGGCCACCGCGGGAATATACGGCTGCTGCTGCTGCTGCTGCTGCGGCTGCTGCTACTGCTACTGCTGCTGCTGCTGCTACTACTACTACTGCTGCTACTGCTACTGCTGCTGCTGATGCTATTGCTACTGCTGCTGCTGCTGCTGCTGCTGCTGCTGCTGCTGCTGCTGCTGCTGCTGCTGCTACTACTGCTGCTGCTGCTACTACTACTGTTCCTGTTGCTGCTACTGCTGCTACTGCTACTACTGCTACTACTACTACTGCTCTCCGCTCAGCTTCAGTCGAGCGGCGATGGTTATGTGTGGGCCGCACGCATGCAGCATCAGCACCACGGCCAGCTGCGCAGCGCCCGATATTGGCTCGTGCATAATAAGTGCGTCGGCAAATAGCGGCTACGATCGCCGGACAAAATCTTTCTAATTAAAATTTAAAATTCAATATTTACACGTTACCGGCGAAGAGGCCGTAATTTCGTGAGGCGCGCGAGTAGTGACGACATTAATAAACCGACGCACGCCTTATTACCCCCCGCGTGTTTATGAAACACCCACTGAAACATTAACTGGGACTATACATGCATGCGCGTGGATGCTACGCGACCATAGTGTTTGAATCCGGCTGGCTATCATCAACAGCGGGGTATCGACATGTAATTGATGCTATGTGCACACGAAGTAATGATGATCAACATCATCTAGTAATACCTCAGCTGTCAACGCACGCGACAACGCGCCATCCCTCCACCGACTGTATAGGGCGGGCGCGCTTTACGCGCGACGACACACACATCCGCGTTGTACGAAATACACCAGCAATACGTGGCCTTTTCCTCTGCGAAGCGCAATAATTATAGAATAAGTAGTTATTCCGTATAGGCTGACCGTATGTATGTGTATGTACGAGTACAGGCAGAGAGAACCTGTGGTATCAAGCAGTCTTGAATCGATACAAGTACACGAAGGCAATAAAAAATGCGATAGGTACCACGTGATATCCAGCATTGCTATCCTCTAGTCTATTAGGCCGAAGGTGCTGCCATCTACTCAATAAAGCGGGCAGTGGCGCCCTCTGGTAGGTGGTATCGATAAGGTGAATGCCAACCTGACTAAACATCGTCCCTAAAATAGCCTAACATGAATATACAGATTGGTGAGGCCTCATGTCTGCATGGCTGGTACCGCGGGAATAGACATTGAAAAAAAAAACTGTATGTGTGCTATGACACGAAAGCAGTCGGTAGGTGGTAGAAGAGAACGATCGACGTTCCCACATACGGTAGCGACGGTCACGAATATGTTATATGATGTTATCTAATCGCAAATGGTCTCTAGAAAATGTTATGATAGCTAAACAACAATGTATACGCGCGTCTATATATATATATATATATATATATTATACTGTAGTAAAACATTGCCATAGATTTTACAGTTTAGAATCTGTTTTAGTCACGGATGGATAGTGATCTCGACGGGTGATTCGAACGAGATGCGTATGACAATCAAAAAACAGAAATGACAGTCAATACCACAGAAAATGAGTCCTGATTCTCACGTGCAGTGTACGTGAGATTTCTAGCACTAATTATTAGGTATTTCGCGAAAGTTGTCTTTGAAATCACGCAAGAATGTCTGTTAGATGTAGGGCGTACTTCGTTTCACCGGGTTTAGCTCTCCTGTTGGAAGCATATGGAACTAGACTGCCAGGATCCTCGCCGTTCCTTTCATGTTTTAGTGTAACCTGTTTTACAAGCGGCCATGTTGCAACACAATAATATGCGTTTGTTCAGGTGTATCACTGTTCGAGCACTAACCTATATAGGGGCATAACTACTCTAGGTACTTCACTATATGCAGGAGCTATTAGCGCGTCAAATAGTGATACACCTCCTATATATATGCGCGTAATTGACATAGGTGGGTTCTGTTTATGTCAAATCCGCTCATTAACGCGTATGTCTCTAGATTTGCCAGAAATCAAATTGGTTCGTTTAAAACACATGGGCTCGAGAATTATCCGACGCCACGTCCGACTGTTTCTCACCCCGTAGCCCCACGTAATGTTCACCAACCCAATCGCATTCTATACGTGTATGTCGAATATGCACATATCAGGTGTACCGAGGTTCGACATATTATAGTGAATATCGCTCGTATACGTTGAACTGCCGGATGCGCCTGGAGTGATGGATCGTATGTCGGATAGCGACGTAGCGTCTAACGAAACTTGTTTATTAGTTGTATAGTAAATAATTAGCCGATGACACACCGGTCAGTGTGTTACACTCGCAGTGCATCATTGCAGATTTATGTGTATATATGCAGAGAAACGGAGGGGAG